ACATACAATACATACTCACAAACCATACAAACCGACAAACAAAGTTACTGGTTTATAGAATGTAAGAATTGTGGATTTGTGTGACCGAAGCGGCTCAATTGTACCATTCCACAGCTTCACAAGAGAGTACGAATCTCATCTAATAAGTGAAACCTTTAGTTGATATGAACTAGCAAAAGGAACTTATGAAACCACAAAATGCCCCGGTTTATAAGCACTGCCAAACTGATCGACGTATAGGAGGAGGCAAACAACCATCGTGCCTTCCTCATAATTGTTGGCTCCCTCCTCTCACCCACCTCCCCCTTCCTAGGGCTGCAGGGAGGTTTTGATGATAATGGCTGCTGTTCGAGAAAAGTTCGCGTTCCGAAGTTTACTACGAGATTGCTGAGCTGTGGACAAAAATCTTAACCACAGGGAAGAGGATGGGAAGCTACAATTGTTTGCCCCGCCCATGGGGCCAGAGGGGACTGCATCTATTTTCATTTTCTACTTAACCAGATATCAGATTGGGCCAATTGAAGAGCTCGGATAATCTTCTAAGTTCAAAACACCTATGCCCAGAGCTTTCAGCTGTCCATGAGCAAAACTACTAAACTTACTGAATGCATCATCTTGAGAGTTTCCAGTGGATAAAGACCTTTGGCGGTTTCACCCGACAACATCACGCAGTCCACACCGTCTAGGACTGCATTTGCAACATCACTGCCTTAAAAAACCTTGCTTTAGAAAATATTAAGTTTGCCGGCAGCTACTCAAGAGTGCATGAAAGAAAGTATCTGGAAAAAAAGGGATAGAGAAGGTTTTTTCCTGTAGAAGGGGAGCAGTCGTAGGGATTCCTAGCACACGCTCAATTGAGGTAAAATCCTGAAATCTCGCCCAAACCAGACCTGCATTCCAGCCCTCCAAAGTGGGATATTCGATGCCATATTCCCCTGACCGTGAGTTTACAGAACACTGACATGTACAGTCCTTATCGTGGGAGGGCGAAAAATGAGGTGTTAGGGCAACGGCTGGATATTCCTGTGCTTACTCTTTACTTCTATGTCTACGCCGTCGCATCCTTCCGCCTGGTATGTCATGGTCGGCGCTGCGCTTTGCAGCTACGTACTTGGAAACGTTCTCCCCACCCCTTCCCCCCGCTCTCCCCTCAGATATGGAATGTACATTGAATGGCCCTGCAAATCGTGGAACTGCTGATCAATTGGCATTTGAATGCCTGCACAATTCTGAATGGAAGCGGAATGAGTGATCCAAGAAGTGGAATGATCAACACCGAGTTAATTTTTTCATCAATTTTCTCACTAAAGGAAAGCAAAAATAGGGGAAAAGCGAACACTTGGAGAGTCCTTCTCCTAAACTTACATTCAGCTCGTGTTGGTCGAGCTTTTGTAATCATGCTTTCCAACATCTGCGTCGCACATATCACAGCTTTCCCAGCCATATTGCATTTAGCTATCAACATCTTCTGCGCGAGGAATACCTGAAATGGTGGCTCTATCCCCTTGGATCACTTTTCCGTTTAATCAGAATTCAGTGCTCTTTAATGGTGCGTTTCAACAACCATACTAAGGTGGTAGAGCTACAGTTATGTCAGTAGGTACATTGACCACCTGAAGGAGGTGTGGAAGCACTTCCGCCCTGGAAGTCTGGGTGGGGATTGTGAAAATGTGCTGCATCCCGCTACATTCCCTTCGCCTGTCCTGTTGACCGTCTCAGGAAATGCTTGTCAACCGCGGAGCCTCTCCCTTCTTCAATTTTTCTTCCACCCCTTCTTTTCCTCCCTTCCTTCCTCTTCCCTCCTCCTTCTATTTCTTCCTTTGAATGCTCGACCAATAGATGCAATGGTAAAATACCCACGGACCCCCAGCAGTAGAATGTTTGATTGACAGAAGCGCTGTAGCCCCGGTTGCCAGTCAGGTCAGGCAAGTCTTCTCCACAATTAAACGAGGTTCAGTTACTGTAATAGCGCTGTCTGCGAATGAAAATAGTATGGCGGTGGGCGCCTCATGTCAGAAAGTAGGATGCTAGGATGTTCCTACAAAGGATAGGGCGTCTGAAGGGGCGTGCACTGAAGCTAAAAGAGCCTGTCCCGCCACTTGTTTTGGATCCAGTATGGACTGTTTGTGGATTCTACCACATTGACAGAGCTCCACTCCACGCCCGTGACAGGCCATATCGTTGGCAAGGATCATGACTGTATGCAGCGATATTCAAAGTTTTGTATGAGAACGAAATTACTGGCACCCCCTAATCAGGTTATCAAACCATGACCATCAGTAGTATCACCTTTTCAGGAGGTATTTCAATTCCAAGATCTCCTCGAGCAACCATAACGCCATCGGCTTCTCTGACTATTTCGTCGGCATTCATCAATCCATCTTCGCATTCGATTTTTGCGATAATGGCTATGTCTTTACCCCTGAAAAGGACTTTTTGGCAGGTGAGATATTCATGAGGGAACCATAAATGACATAGAATGGCTTCAAGTGCTGAAGAGAAGGTACTCAATAAAAGATTAACTTACGCTTCTCCTAAAATTCGTCGGATTTCCCGGATTCCCTCTGCGTTCCTGACGAACGACGCAAAAATTATATCCACTTTCTGCTCAACACCGAACAACAAGTCTGCTTCATCTTTCTCAGTGACAGCAGGAAGATCAACTGTGGTGCCGGGAAGATTCACTCCCTAAAAAGAAGACTTCATGAAGAGGATGAATACGTGGGGAAAATATGGCGCCAGAGGAAAGGTTCCAAGGCCCGCCGAATGAAACGTGCCATCAAGATAGACTCAAAGATAGCAGTGGCATTTCATAGGCGCGAAGGCTGTAACAATCCATTCCACTTGCATTTTTGAACCTACAGTCTAGCAATGTACGGCGGCCAATCTAAAGCAGTCGCAAGGAATGGATGGCTCTTGGCATCAACCGTTCCCTTTGTCTACACTTCTTTCAGATACTAGAGGTCCATTTCTCGGACAAGGGTTAACGTCACATTTCTCGGACAACTGCCCTTTTCACAAACACTTATCCAACATGTCAGGAGCCATTTTTACCTCCTTCACATGGAGGAGCAACCACATAGCAGACGAATCCACTCGTTGCCTGTTTTTCGCGGCCCAGTACGATCGGTGAAAAAGTCGACGGAGTTAACTACCTGAGGATTTGTTCACCCGCATTCCCAGCCTTCTTAACGAATGCATCCTGCAGGCAATCTATTCTGACACAGTCCTCTTTTAGATGGATGAAAGAATAGCATGGCAACCTGTCACTTCAGCCGCTAATAAGTTGTGAGTTTTCGTTGAAAACGATCGACAAACCATTCCGATTTCCGCAGGCTCGCGACGTTTTCGATCTCGCAGCATCAGCAGAATCTGGGGAGTGTCTTTAACTGTGAGTGATATTCAAACGCATGCAATCGGATGAAAAGGCGACTTCCTGAAATGGTAACAAACTCAGTCAGGTCCAAAAGAAAAATATAGTTTTCCGCTAAATCGACGCGGTAATCGTTTCAAAGGCCAGTCGGCACTATGAACGTCTTCGTAAGAAAGAGTAAGATGATACCGCCGGCAGGACGGAATTCCGCGATCCTCTGAGGCAGAGTGTGCTAAGTGAATTGATTCCAAGGAACTGCCCCTATAGAGGGCCTAATCAGCCACACACATACCCGAGAGGCCACTCAGCAGCCAGTTCACAAATAGAGCGACTGTACCTGATGCTTGCATTGCTTCATTTATTAAGTAAAATATGAAGCGAAGAGACTGATATGAAGCGGCTGAGGTGCTGCATGGATATATGAGTATTGTGCGTGAAGCTTCTACCGTAGCTGGCGGTTCATTGGCTAAGATGTCTTTGGGAAAACTCGTCCGAAATTGCTTATCGAGTAGTTGGGAATGAAGATCGTGGATTTTTAACGTTTCACTTCGTTTTTCGCCATTTTCCCCACTACATATATTGCGCCCTGCTAGCATTTTAGGCCAATTACCAGAATATGGTGCCAACTTCCTTTGAAGACATACTGCACTACACTCACTTCCGGCGCTGTTTGTCGACGGGGGGGGCATTTTGTATTATCATTGCTTCCCTAGTTCCGGTTTACAAATCTCACTCTGGTAAAACTTGTGAACTCTTGTGAAGCTGAAGTAAGATCGTCTAGCCACTATCCTAAAACGTGTCAACTCGAGAAACGGCTGCCTAGATGGGTCGACACATCTATGGAAAGCAAAATGCCCCCCCCCCGTCGACAAACTGCGCCCTCACTTCCGAGTGTTTTAGTCAAGGTGAGTGAGTTCGTAGCCGCAGTAGCGTGCCACTCTTCGCTTAGAATGACCAAGAACGGGCTGGAGGGTGCTGGCATCCGTTAATGCCGTTGAAACTCCGCCCAAGACACATGCCACACGCGTGAATAGCCAACAGCTCAGCTACCTATCTATCTATCTAACAGCTACCTATCTGCGCTCCCACAGATTGCCTCCACTTTTAACTGCGTGTATGCTGGCAGATTTTGGTATCGATGCAAGTACTCCACGCGCTGCCCCTCGAGGATAGCGCGGGTGTAATCAGAAGACGGTCAACGGGTATTGCTACGCCCCAGTCCCGTCTCCACGCACTTCTACGCGAAGGAAATGGCACGCTAGGCGCAGTTTGCCGACGGGGGGGGGGGCATTTTGCACTTTCGTTGCTTCACTAGTTCTGGTTTACAAGTCTCACTCTGGTGAAACCTGTGAACTCTTGTGAAGCTGGAGCAAGCTCGTCAAGCCATCATGGTGTCAACTCGAGAAGAGGCTGTCTAGATGGGTCGACACGTCGATGGGAAGTCGTTAAAGTGCAAAATGCCCCCCGTCGCCAAACAGCGCCGGCACGCTATTGGTTCAGACTGCTTTTAGAGAATTCTGCCACACCCAGTCAGGTTCATTCATAGTGAGACTCGCTCAAAAACTATAGATGATCTATTGGCCATCTAGCCGGGCGTTCTTAGAAAAAGAATGGGAACGCTATGTCAACATGGCTTTATAATGTGTGAAGTTTTTCAAGGCACTCCGTTGAAATGGAACAACTTGATAGGAGGTT